CTGGAAACTGCTACCTAGGCAACCGACTTGTTGACACTTAACTTTCCAAGGATCAATAGTTAAGTTGGAATTGAATTATGAGAAATGCTCAGTGTCCTTGAAAATCCCTTGTTATCTATGGTGGGGAGTAAGGTAGGAGGGTGGAAGACGATAAGAGCTATTTTTTAGTATCTGAGATAGACTAGGATAATCACTTTTCTTTCTGAAGACACAGGCTTCTTTGCCATATGTCATATACTGAATCACATGGTACACAATCAATGAATTTCTGTTGATAGAAATATAAAAAATTGCTTATATATGCTACATAGACACTTATAGGTCAGGATCATTTAATGGCCATTAAAATCAGGCAAAATTACTGTACTCATAATTATTTATTCTTTTTTTATTATGAATACTTCAAATATACTCAAAAAGACAATATAATAAACTGTCATGTACCAAACATATAGATTCAAAAATTATCAACATGCTACATTTCATTTCAAATCCACCCTCATCAACTTTTCTGGTGATGTTGTTTTTCTAGACTAATAATCATTCAAATGTGAATTGACTATTCATATTTGAATAATCAAAGTAAATGTTATGCCTCCAGGCTGGATAAATACATGAAGGAATTCTTTGGAAAGAGTTTGTGAGGCATTCAAATTTTGAGAATCTCATTTATTTCAAGGAATAGTAAAGACCAAACATATTTGGATTATGTTTTCATTTAATAATGGTGCTCTTTGTTCTGTCGACTTCATTGCAGAGGCAAATGGTTATAATGATTTTGAACCTATAACTGGTTCTCTGCACTTAGCTATGGTTATCCCCAAATATGCAATTTTTACAGATGTTCAATTATATTTAATCATTCTTTTCAATATCTGTGAATTCAATTCAGGATTATACAAATATATTTATCTTCATCCACAGCTTAAGTCACCCCTTGTTCCAAACAGTTGAGAAAGTAATATGTAGGATTTTGTCAAATAAGATTATTCTCATTATTTTTATCCTATTAAGTGTCTCCATTGAAAAGACTGGGGTGGAGAGGTGGGAAGACAATAATTCTCACATTGGCACTACCTCTCCAAATATGACTCAGTCCTTCACAATTTCTCTATTACTAACCCATTAACATGCTGAGAAATTCAACAAATCACTCTTGAGACTGGCCAGAGAAAAACTTAAAAATGAGGAATTGGCTACTGACAGGTCATAAACAGTAAACTTCTGGTTATGATTCAAATGGGTGGAAAATATTATTAGATATCTCATATCTGCATTTTTGGGAGGAGGCAGCTGGCTGGTATGGGGAATCTGAACCCATGACCTTGGTTTTATAAGGCTATGGTCTAACCAACTGAGCTAAGCAGCCAGCCCCCTCATATCTGCATTTTAAGCACAATGAAATCAATAGAGTAATTTTAAATGAGGTCAATAAAGCATAGGAAAATCATTCATGACTACCTTAAAGTTGTATCAAACTGGGAATTTGAGGTGAACACTGATAATGTCAAATTAAGAGCCCTTTTCACTATAAAAATCATTCTCTTGGCAATAACATAAAATAACCTATATGGATTGAATTTCTCACTTGGCATATATTTTAATTCAGTGGCTCCTACTGGATCTGAAAAATAGGTTCATTATTCATGGCTAAACGCTAGCTATTTCATTAATGTATATCTAGAATAGATTTCTATGTCTCTAAATTGACAAAAGAGTGGTTGCTTCCCTTCGAACAATGGTTTCCAATTTTTTTTTCTTTACCAAGACACACATGAGGAATAATATTCAAAAGTTCCACCTACCTCTGTCAGTCCCAATCACTCTCTAAGTCCTGCTGCATAAATAAAAGAGATCACCAGTTATGCTTGAATCTAAGCCTCTGTTCAGTGGAATGCCATCCCTTTCTTTTCTGTTTTACATGTGAGTTGAGAACCACTGATTCAGATGTTATCTACAATACATATAAACTGTCAATCTGATATGTACTTGAAAGAGAGGGACATCTATAGGAAAGGACTTCAGGGACATTGGGAAGTTTTACTATCTCCAAAGTACTCCCTCACAAGTGAACTTGTGCATGAAATGAAATAGTGCAGAGGTTTGTTTAAAAGCAAATATCCTGTCAGTTGAGAAGACCTAGAAGCAACAACACTCCAGTAATAAGCACACCTAGCACCCAAATCTTGGTTTCTAATACCATTCTCCATTAAAAGGTATCAGGGCTTTATGGGAAAACGGCTAAGACTAGGACTAGGGAAGGAAATATACAAGATAAGCCTGGAGCATCTTTCCATAATGTAAAGAAATGCTAAAAAAAAAAAATAATAATAAATAAAAAACCACACAGGATGGGGTTATATGGGGTTATATATCAAAGGGACAAAAGAACTAACTGAAAGAGCTCCCAGTGAGCAAAGGTAAAAGAATTTGAGCAAGAAAATCAAATGGTATTGCATTACAATCCAATGTAAAAAATAAATATCCATGATTCCATACTGATATTAATAAATAAATGTGGGAGAAGAGACAAATCTCCCATTCAGAAGAATTCCAAATAATTTATATAGTTATTCCACCCTTAAGGAGGGGGAGCTAATTTCCCACTTCTTAAATGTGGACTGTGAATAACAACTTTCTTCCAAAGTGTATAATATGGAAAGGGAGGGAAAAAGAGTAACTTAACAGTGGACAAACACTAACTCAAGCCAGTGATCAAGACAATATCAACAGTGATAAGTGATTTTGATATACCCTTGATGCAGTGTGATGAGAATGGTATTTTACCTTTGTGGTCTTCCTGTCAAAAATGTATTATTTCTGTATAACCTTATGAGAAATATCAGATAAATCCCAATTGAGGGACATTCTACGAAATATCTGACCAATGCACCTCAAATTGTCAAGGTCATCAAAAACAAGGACAGTCTGTGGAACTGCCACAGTAAAAAAAAGCTAAAGGAGACATGACAACTAAATGTAATGTGGTATCACATATAGGATCCTGAAACTGAAAAAGGACATAAAGGAAAAGCTGAGGAAATCTGAAGAAAGTGTACTTTGTTAGCTATAATGTACCACTATTGGTTCATTAATTGTAACATATGTACCACAGTTATGTAAGACATTAATAAAAGGGAAAACTGGGTGCAGGGTGTACAGGAATTCTCTGTACTATTTTTGCAATAATTCTATAAGTCTAAAACTGTCTTAAAATTTAAAAGTGTATTTAAAAGCAAATAGGAAATTTTTATTACAGTACTTTTTTAGAGACAAAAACTGGAAACAAAGTATATGCTCATCAATAGAGAAATGACTGACTAACTTGTGGTATCACGGAATATTAAGCAACACAGAATATTCTGTACTTAAAAGAATGAGTGAGCTCTTCATCAATGTACTTGGAGAGATTTCCACTATGTATCGGTACCAAGAAAATACAGAGAAATCTTTAACCCTTCTTTGATTTTGTAAAACAGTAAGGAGAAAATCCCCATCTAAATATGTTTGTATAATTAAAAGAGAAGGGAAAGTGTATGTAAGGATACACACTAAGGTGTTAACATTACTGGGAGCAGGGGAATGGGGTTAGTGGGGAGAAGGAGAAAAGAGGGGAGGTAGCAAGACTGAGGACATATGCAGGGCCGGAGAAGTAAGCAATAATTAGTTCAACAACTCATTATAAGCTGTATATAGTGGGCTGATGCTTTGCAATAGAACTTTAAACTTGTGAAAACAACAAACAAACAGAGCAAACAGGGATGGCGGAGGAAAAGAGAAATATTTTTGAATGAAAGTGGGGGATGGAAAAGGGTGAGACAAGAAAAGAGTAGCAGCTCCCTTGAGAATACAGTGTCAGTCACTACAGCTGAATTACACCTACTTTTCAATTTTGCCACGAGCTACCCAAGTAGGAGAAAATACTGCTGATCACTAAGGGTGTGATTAGAATGACTGCTGCTTCTGCCAAGAGCCTAAGGATTTTGCCTATCAGGAACAGAGAATAAACTCACCATTTGCTCCCTGAACACTCCTCCCACCCCAAAAAGTGATTCTTAGAGCATCAAGAAGGCTTTCTATTTATATACCACCTTGTTCTCTTGGCCTTTTGAACAATGAGGCTTTGCCAGGGGCTTCCAAGTGCTTTTGATGAAAAAGTGACATAGCTTTAGCATCAAAATCCACAGGAGACAAAAATAGGAAGGGTCTGCATTTTCAAGAAGTTAAAATCAAATAGAGTGCAGGTCCCTGGTGAGAAAGATCAGAGACTCCCAAAATGGCAGAATTGAAAGATGGTTTAAAGGTCATCTCAGCTATCTACTTTAATACCTAATCCAGTCTTTATCTGAAATGGTAGATCCTAGATCCTAACACTGGGGTAGAGAGGGAAGGGAGGACATATTGTGGAATCTCTAAGAATAAAACAGATTGCTTTTCACTATAAACTTCTTGCAAGTGGGATTGTGTCTGTGATAACCACCCAGAAACTCTTGATGACTGTACGTTTACAGAGCTCCATGCTGAATATTTAGACGCAGTGGACTCAAACTCACACTGAAAACTCATTTGCTAAGAGATCTCCCAGCAGCATTTGAAGCTATTTTTGACCAGCAGATAGATGAGACCTTGGCCTATATGATATTTTATTTCATTTACATGGCCAGATGTCAACATCCTTGAGCCAAATGGCTCTATACAAAAACAATTGTTAATATAAGACCCTGGGGCAAGGGTGGGGTTGGGGAAAGAATGAGTCATATAATTTTCTAAATTAAATAAGCATTCACAGTAAATGGGAGTTCTATTTTATGAAAATCTGATAAGAATTTGTTGTGTAGTTCCAATAGATAATTAGAATAGAATTTACTGAAATTCCACATGCATTGCAAACTTTCAAGAACATATCTGTTGCATGACATAAGGCACACCTGCATACACTCCAGCCCCAATCAAAAGACAATTAGCCAAGTAATTGTGCAATATTTTCACACAACACTCACCTTAAAACACAAGTGTAGAATCCACTGTCTTGTGCCTCAGCTGAGTGAAACCATATTGAATCATCTTCTTTGCTCATCCTGACCTCCGAAAAGATGATGGGCTCTTCCAAATCACCTTTGTTTTTGTACCACATAAGCCTGAGCCCAGTGCTCTGTGCCATGCTATAGTTGGTGCGAATGTAACTGTAGAAAAGGGCACATTTTACTCGGACTGGTTCACCTGCCAAAGCCATGTACGTCTTGAGATCTACTGACCAGTCAATGCAGCCATCCACTGAAAGAGAACCAGAAAAGGCATGAGATGTGATAATCATTGTTGATAATAATGGTAAGAACAGTAATCATTGCCAAAATGTACTGAGGACTTTCTACAAGCCAGGTACTGAGTCAAGTGTTTTACATAGATTACTTCATTCCATATTCCTAGTTATTCTATGAGATAGCCCAGTGTCTTGCTTAGACCTTAACAAGCACAGCCCCTGCTCTAGCCCTGTGCTGTGGGATGTTTTCCAATCCTCTGCAGCAACACTATGCTTGGAGTAAACTAAATCCTCCAAGGAGCTCCAGCAGTCTTGCCTATAGGGTTGTTCTGGGGCCCTAAGGCCAGGTCCCAATTCCAGCAGAGTGGTTTGACAAGAGGATCACTCCTGCTAGCCATGCAGTATTTCCTTCACTGCATCGTGTGAAATTAGACAGCTAGAAAGGCACTGGCATGTTGGTTTTAGGCGACTCAAATGGTTTGTATAGACAGGAGCCCCGCAAAACAAAAATTTCCAGGACAACCCTACACAACTTAGGAGCAGCCCTGAAATTAACACTTTTATTCTTACCTTACAGATGAGAACACTGAGACTCACAGAAGTTAAATGACTTTGCCCAAGGTCACACAGCTAATAAGTGGTGGGAAACTAGCCTCTGATTTCAGGGAATGTGTTTTTAACCCCTACTCTATACTGCCTATGCCTATAATTGTGACAAGAACCATTGTGTACTTTATTTGCCTTTGAGAAAGTAAATGCCGGGGTCAGAAGCAGTGAGCATCTAAAGCGATTATTTGCTATTATATACATGCCAGTTTTCCATGGTATGACCTATTAATAGCAGATATTTAATCGCCAGTCAATTTTTCTTTATACCCTTAGGCCTCCCTTGCTGCTTAGCTGTTGTGTGCTCATGGGAATATATTATATTAATGTCAATTTTAATCAAATAATATTAGGTGGGTAAATCTACCATTAAAGAAAATACATATATACAGTAAATTCCCTTTTTTCCAGAAGGGTTAGAAACGAGACACTGTGGCTAACTTAATATGCTAGTCAATATGGTTAGCATAGATATTCTACCTCCAATTACTTATTTTCAAATAATTTCATCAAATTATACTACATCCCTTTATATTACTTGATTACTCTTTATAAATAATCGTTTCATAAAATGTATAAACACTACCATTTTTAAATTATGTTTTGCTTGTAACTTTGTGAACCAATCTGCTTCCTTTTTTAGATGTTGAGAACTCTATAACCCAGTGTGTTTAATCTTTTAACCTCAGTTGACAGGAAGCTCAGAGCTAAATAAAATGCTCAAGTGTAATAACTATCTTACCTCAGGATTTCATTTTCTCTATATAAAGGGTTCCTGAACTAGGGTTCAAGGACACCCAGGGGGAGGGTGCCTAGATAGGCTTCAAGGTTGTTGGCAAAACCATGTCCCCATTTGCATAGATGTACTTCTCTGAAGAGATTTTCATAGCTCTTCATCAAATCTTCAAAGGGGTCTATGGCCCGAGAAAGTTTTTGAACTCCATTGTTTCTGATCACTCTTTCTGACTTCATTTTTCATTGCCCTGCTGCATATGGGCTTTTATTATAAGGTGCCTCAACTCCTCTCATAGTTATGTAAGGCATTCATTAGAAATAAACAAATAACTCACTTTAAATTTATATTGAAGGGCATTTGAATTCTCTTTGAGAGTTCAGAGGTACCAGATTCATCACTATGGATTTTGATGACTATTGTGCACTGTTAAAGCCAAGAGGGTACAGTAGATTGGACTAAATATGTACTGTCACTGGGTATCTCTTAGGGTTCTTTTTATTCACTCCTTGGAATTGGCTTGTTTATCTGTCATTTGTCAGTCTCATAACTGTCAAGAATAGAGAGGGGGAAATTTATATTAGTTGAACTTTCTGGGTCATGACAAATTACTCGTGATAATCTCTGGATTAAATGCAGTTTTAGTATTTTCTGTTTTATTATCTTTAGATGAATTTTATATTATTCCTTTTTATGGATTATCTGCGGTACTATTCCTGTGAATTAACACAAGTTAGACGTAACAATATAATTTTTTTAAGAAAATACATGTTTTCTAATAGCTTTACTTTAAAAGTTGATTAATAGAAACAAGGAAAACAGATATCATTTTAAAAAATACTTTTAAGTATTTCAGTTTTTGTTTTCCCCTAACCCTAAGATGCACAGCAAGTGTTTTTGAATTAACAAATTTGTCCTGGTAAAACAGCCTCAAACTCTATAATTACCTCCTTTATAGAAAAAAGATTTTGGAATGTTTTTTTTTCCATTTGCTCCCTGAATCCCTTTAGTTATCTCCTCTAAATGATGTGTTGCATAATCCACACCCTTACAATGTTAACAGGCTGGTTTGGCTCATTAGTGATGGGACATGGTTGGTATTGAAGATAATCAAAATATCTGCTTCTGAGTCACAACAATCATGCTCAACAGCAGTTTAAGACATTTAAATGCCACCAAAATTAACTTTATCATACAGACCTTGAGAGTACACTGAGAATTCATTTCCTTTTAAGTACCATCTGAGCAACATGTATTTGATTTAACAGATTTACAGGCCCTTTTCTTCTCTTTCTTTGCTTTAGGAATGAGAGAGGTAGTCAATAGGCAGAGAACAGAAATGTAATGATAGGGAAAATAATTTCTAAACATTATCCTTTTTATTCTTTTCCCTTAGTATTTACAGTACAAGGTATTTCAAGAGTCCTAAGGAAGTTTTCCCCAAAAATAGACAAAGGTATCATACCAGCGATCCACGAAGGCTCTCCCACCACGAAATATTTTTCCAAACTTTATTTTCACAAGTACAAATCCATTTCCATGAGCTAAGGCATTGTAGCCTCATATCTGAAGAACATTGGAACAGTACTAGATTCCAACAAGGTGGTATAAGTTGTTTATATCAGATTGCTAAGAATGGGGCAAGAGGGAAGGGAATAGGATATAGTACATTTATTTTTATATTTGGGACTAGTGAGACAACTAAGAAGTACAGACTAAGGTAAGAGGCCTTAATAGTCAGGTGGCAAGTCAGCATAAAGGGATTGAATATCTTGAGGCTAAGAGGGAAGAACTGAGGGGTGTCAGAAGGTCAGAAAAAGAAAAAAAGTGAAAAGTCAAATACAACTGAATTTGTCAAGTGCCATCAGAAGTCATAAATAATGTCATATTTCTGTCATGAGGAGTTTGCAATAACATACAATACTTTCAAAGCCCCTTGCAACTTGATTCTCCATACATATTTGACAAATAGCTGAATGAATGGCAAAGGTACAGGCTCTGGCCAGGTTGGGAACATAGGGGAACTGAATAGCCCATAGAGGGGGCCAACCTGTGAGCTTGACCTCATCAGCACAGGCCTTCAATCCACAGAGGAACTCAGCCCTATTCTGTTCACAACTCCAGTGGTACCTGTTTAAGCAGTGCCCTCCCTCCTGCCTGGCCCCAACACACACACATAGTGCTCCCGAGAAAACTGTATTCTGGATAGACTGGTTTCTCTCACAGGTGGATTGATAACTAGGTCTCACTAAGCAGTCACTGAAATTGTACAGTTGTGCTGAAGCTTGCTACAGAGCAAAACCATTGAAAGTATAAGTGAGTGCATGCCTACTCTCTGCTTCACAATCATTCAGTATGGTTATAAGTATTCCTGTCCCTCCATTAGGAAATACCTCCTATTTCTACATTATCCATTCTCTGTTCACTCTTCGGCCTTATGAATAGCAATTCAAGTATTTAAAAGAACAATTGTGTTTTTTCAGATTCTCATCTCTACTCCCTTGATTTCTACAAGATTCATAAAGTTATTATTCTTGGTTTAGTCTTATTGGCAGAAATGCTTTCATATCTGGGCTCTCCAAAACAATTACAATGGAGTGAAGGAAGCCACTTCTCTGAAATTCAGGTCTCTATTTTAATCATTTTTATTCCAATCTGCAAAACAAGTGCATGCTCAGGGAATTTGAGATGAACATTCAAAAGAAGGAGTATATAAAGAATATAAAGGGACATTTCAGAATCCATATAATTTATTTTGCCAGGATGAGATACCCATGGGTAAAAACTTGTGCAGTCCCCTGCAAAGTGCCCTGGGTGACCTGAGTATAACCATTTAGCCTCTTTATAGATAAGTCTCCCACTTCCTCCTCAATACAATCAAAAGGGAAAATTCTGCCACACTTACCTGCTTTAAAAACAAAGCCCTGTGAAAAGTTTATAAATATCTATAAGAGAATAAGATGTTATTATCAACAATTATAATAATATTTTAGAAAATAATATTGAGTGCAGTAAAACTAGACTCTAATGGTCATGTACATTACAACTTATTTATTGGGAGATTGGATATATAGCTATGTATAGAATTCCTAATTCTGGATTTTTTCCTCAAATTGGAAATCCTGTTAGGTAAAATGGCTAATTAGCACATGAGAAAATATGCAAGCTCTAGATACTTTGATGATGTTCATTGCAATTTCAGTCCTTTGCCTGAGGTGTACCCCATGCTAGTTTATTGTGTGTTTATGATTAACACATTCGTTTGTTAAACCAGATGTTTTATTTTAACTATGTCAACTATATCCCATTCATTTTTTACACCAGCTCTCCTGTTTGTGAATCAACAGGGCAACTGTTGGGGGCAATTCATCAAATTACCACTAGAGGGAGAGCTGTCCAAGTTTTTGTGTAGTACTCAAGTTTTCCCTACCCAATCTCTAAAACTAAGAATTTGTTATTGACCAACTGCTGGTTGCTGGGGAGGGACCACAGCACACCTATGATAATGCACCATTGTGGGTGATAGAGGGAGCTAAAAGCTGACAGCACAACTGAAATCTTGCTCAAACTGGGAAACCAGACTAGACACACACCAGGTAAATGACCCAACACTGAAAAGTGCAACAGCAACAGCTATTGGTATTCACTGAGCTCTAGTATAGAACAGCTAGGCACAGTGCTATGTGTTTTGTATGCATTTTTCTCATTTCATTCT